ATATATATATATATGCAGCGATCGATCTACAACAAAACTGCAACGTATTTCGAACTGAGGCTACCCGTTGCGTGGGCTTTACATACGTGGTCACAACAGGTGGGAGTCGATCTTAACCTGTTGCTTCTCTGTTAGTCAAGAGATTTACCGATTCGAAGAATTCACGGAAGAATATATTGTACAGATATTTATGTATCTTTACGAACATTGCGTGTTTATTGACGTATGTTGGAATTTCTTCACATTTTTTCCATATGTCAGAGAAATCGTTAAATTGTCGTTGATTTATTGATTGATTTATTAATTAATTTATTATTAATTATCGAGGCAAGAGTATTCTCAAACATATTTCGAACTATTTACTCAGTCGTCGTTGACGCGCAGTTTTGCGTTTTTAATTCATAGCGTTCGTTACGTTCGATTGACCGCAATTCGATTAAATGACTTCTCACTTTTCTGGATTCGTTGCTTTTCAATCATTAAGTATTTCCTGCTATGCCAACGATGCGGTGCGGCATCCGATTGTTTCCCACCATCGTCGATTGCGAAGGCGTGAATATAATGATTACACAGACGGTACACGTGACGCACGCGGGAAAGACTAGGACTATTCTTCTTTAACAGTGTTTTCTTTTCGCGACCTGCCCATGAATAAATTAATTTTAATTTATATTACCATCACGATGTATATTCTGTTGGAAATCATACTAATAAGCGAAAAACATGAGACAATTTAACAATAGTCTCGTTCCGCTAGTGCGATAACTCTACGGTAACATGGAATTCTAAATCAAGATAAAATACAAATCTGCGAAGTCATGTCTAATGGCTTGATATCCTGATTGATAACTTGATTGATAACTCAGAAATCATGTGATAACAAATGATTTGATTTCATCTTCTTTAAAGATGATTCAATTTAATTTATAATTGATCGTATAAATAAAATCGACTTTATTAAATTATAATGTTTATATTAAATTGATTCAAGTAAAATATTAAAATATCAAAATATTGATAATTTTATAAGATAATAACGATTTAAATAAATTTTTTATTGAACAATTATTTTTACGGATTTTTATATCTTGTTTTTGGTTGAAACACAATATTTTTATGTTTAATTCCATGATTACAATCTATATAAATTAACAAAGTGTTTTGCATCATGTTTGTCGTGTAGCATGTATGTGTGTATTCAATATTCAGCTTGTTAGAAAGGCACGCGAAATCATTCGGTTGTCATTGTTTCACTGACTGCCACTTACTCGATAATTCACTACGTAGCCGAACTTTCACTTTTGGCGATAAACGCGATAGCAATTTAAACGCCATTCTTCTTCGACGCTTTTGGACGATGGTGTATTTCCGTGCCGTTGATATAATCTCTAACGAATAACGCAATCTTTGTAACAAATTCCATTTAGCAACTCGTAATTTACTTAGTTCCACGGTAATTGTTATAAAAAACTCCCAAATATAATATTTAATATGGAGAATGACGAAACACTCAGATATCTTTCGAGTATACATTATTTATGTAATTATATGTATTCTATGTATAATAAGTACCGGCTATTGCTTAACGCCAAACAAGTCAATGGAGGTTGCCTATCTTATCGCAAGTCATCAACGATAAGAATGGTTATAGAGCACTCGAGTGCGGCCATTATCGGATTCTTGAGTTTTTATGCGTGTCGAGGCATTAAATCGCTTTTCACCTAAGCGCATAATTAAGGTCATATTCCATAGCGCATGCAGCGCATGTATTTAAGACGCATGGACGGCTTTGCCGCACGTTGACCGCTCTCTTCTCAATCCAGGACACCGTATATACAGCAACTATAAATAAGATATCTCTTGCGAAACACAAGAGCCTTGCACAGGCGAAAAATGTACCGAAATCGGGTGAAAGTACTCGGTTAAGAAAGCCGTTCTACGTGTTATTCTCCCTATGCAGATTTCTTATCAGAATTGCGCGGTGGAACAACTTCGAACATTATGACGTTGTAAATTAAAAGTAAGTATATACCCCCCCCCCCTCCACTCCCAGGTTTGCACGCAATATAATAAAAGATTATTAAATTATTTTTATCGTATATCGTAAATCTTGATTTTTAACATGTCAGGAAACAGTCACTTCCTGTATGCGTAACGTGAAATATATTTATTAACATTTATTACCAGTCGCGTTCAAAATAAAAGCCGCGAAAAAAAAAATTCCGTATCGGTGTTGCATTTAATACAACCGTTTGCTGACATAGTTTTACGAAACTAAGAGCAAAAGTTTTACC